AGCAAACATGTAAAAGCCTGGGCTTAAAATAGTGGTGCCCATTAGTAACTGAAAAATAACAAGTCACTGTGACAAATGCTGAACAAGAACAGGTTAAGGATTTTGATGCAAACGCAAATGTTATCCGATATCTTCAATTAAGTCAATCCTAGCCAAGCATCTGTTACTAAGATTACATAGTGTCAGTTTTAGTACAGTACGTGTCAATTCATAGACCCATATAAACCTATTTTTACAGTTAATTTGATGTAAACAAATAGGGCTTCATCTACAGGAGAGAGATGTGTCGAAACTGTCAACCTGTCTAATATTAAAACTCAGCTCAAAAGGAAACTAAAGAGCTTAGTGGAATCACAAATGTATATTGCAAAATGTCTTCCCTTTGTGGTTCATTTTATTTGGTCCATTCACATTTTTGCTAGACTTGAACCTAAACCAAGCAATTTACAGGCACATCTTAGCATATTTCTGACTTTAGAATATTGTGTGAATGTTGTTTAAAACACCACAGACTGTGCTGAAATTGGGGACTTGTCTCTGCAGAGAAGTGGACCAAATCAAGTATTCACGTAAGAGTTGTACAACTATAAAGTGAAAGAAATCAGTGTCTTTTCAGTAAAACACTGCCTTACTACATTTCACACCTGTGTTTCAGCAAAAGGCAGGTGTGTACACAGCCCTGCTCTGCTAAGTGCTATGTCAGCCTCCTTGTCTCATTCCCACCCCGCACAGGAGGGACATGGAGACGTGGCTGCCCCAAACAGCGCCCCCTAAAGGCCCATCATCCCGGATCACACTCTGCCCCTGGAGCTTGACATCACCCATAAAGATGTGACAATGGTGACATCATTCTCACATCAAAAGTGGCTGAACAACAAACTTAATTGCATATTCTGGCATTTAAGAAAAAAAGAAAATACACAGTTGACAAACTGCATGCACATCAGCCTATAGCATATGTGTATTGTATGTTTCTATGGGTCAATTACATTTAAATTAGTCAGAGAAACACAATTAATTATTAAAATTACTAAAGTAAACAAACTTTGAGTGTATTTCAGTGTGCAGTGGTTAAGTGGTATGACAGTATTATGACTTAGCCATCTTCCTCCATCTGGCTGTCCCTGGCTAACTGTACCTAAGCCATTCATTCACATTCATTCACAGAATACAAAGGAGAAAATAAGAACGTGGTGATGTGGAATAAATCAGATGTTGTTTTTAAGCACAAAGGACCCTCTTAAAGGCACAGGGGATAACTGATCCTGACTCATGTAAATTGACGTAGCTTTAGCTCGTAACCCAAGCTAGGTTGTAGCTTGACTCCCATAACGGTACATGCAATGATAATTTCACATCCTGGTTATTTGTATAACGTATCATTGTTGAACAGTGGAAACATTTGGTTGTTTTACCTCGTCCTCCTTGTGATTCCTAATGCCACGTACTAAATCCTGGAGATTTTTATCGAACATCCGATCGATGCTCCCTTTGACAATCTTCAGAGCCATGGTTGTATGTCTTGTGCCGCCTGTGTGCAGAGGAGCTTTGCAGAGGTGTGGAGGGCGCTGGCGGACCTGCTCAAGTGTTTCTCATCTACCCGGCACCGTGTGTTCGGGCTCCGCCGCTGTTTACTGATCCCGGGGAGAGGAGGCTGAGGCCAGACGGGCGTCCTGAGCTGTGCACAGACGCTGGCAATGGATCAGCGGAGGAAATGGCAGACAAAATGGCGTCGAAAGTCAGCTGACTCGAGTATTATGCGAGAATCAGTGGAATTAAAGGTCTAGTCCCCCCTCTTCAACCTACATGTCTCCCAGAGAAGTGAAACAACTTTTTTTTGCAATAAATATCTATGTGTTATTAAATACTGTATCTTGGCTTACGAAAGGACAATTTCCCCAAATGCATAATATAAAATGCTAAAACATTAAACATTTAATACACAATATATTCTATGAAAATTTGTTTTCCTTATCATTAGTTACTGTCTTGATGTTTAACTTTCAATTTCCATAATAGCAAATGAATTTGTACATAGTCTTATTTGAAATGTTGACACACTTGAACCATAGTCGCAAAACCATGCTGAGATCTTTATTCATCTCTCAACTAAGTGATAGAAATGCTTTTACCAATTTATATACGACTAAAACACCGGTAGTATGAGACAGGACAGTATCACAAGCTGCAGCTACATGAGATCTGATTTTACAGGTAAGGTCTCAGTCTGTACAAGTACTCATTGAATATACTTCAAGCTGACACTGAGGGTGAGTGCAAGGTGTAAAGCTTCACTGCAATTAGACAAATTGTAGATGAAAATGTTTGAAAACAAGGTTATAAAACATCATGTGGACCTCACTTGTAATTACATGTTTGAGTGACAGTTAGTGGCTTTACATTGCAGAATTGATAAACTGGATCAGATCATTAAAAAAGTAATGAACATAAAAGACAGTATTCTTACAAAGTCTCTTAGAATCATTCTCACAAAGATCAGGCCTTTCACGTCTGTGCATGTTTTATATAAAACAAAATAGGCCATTAGTTCTGTACCAAAATGCCAAACGGAAAAACAAAAAGCACATCCCCAATTCTTTCTGCAATCACAACGGAATCATTCTGTACTCCCAGTCCAGTCTTATTTCAAGTCCTATGCAAAACTATTAGATGTTCTTCAGGTTAAGCAGTGGCTGTGGAATAGATCCAGGACTCCTCAAGTATTAAAGTCATTTCAGAAATATGATTTGCAGTGCTTTACAAACTTTGTAGCTTTTTGTTATGATAAATAGAAGATCAGCTCGATCAGCTTGAATAATATGGATCTGGTTTAAAATCACTGTAGTACAAAATGTCAAATGCTATTGGTGTAACAGAAAAAGAGGCTCCGTAGTTCTGTGCAGGTCAAACAAATAGGCCACCATCTTTTAGCACTTGGTCCAATGTAGCCGCAAGTAAAGTCCCTCAGCTTTCCACAGCTGCTGGCTCCATCTCTGCAGAAATTGAGTTGTCCCCTTCCTCATATGAAGGTGAGTGTGGTTCAGCAGGACTGTCTGGGCTCCGCCTGGACACAAGCAGAATAATCACAATCAGCAAATTGTTTCTTTGTTTTTTAAATTGCTGCCTTTACTGCAGAGGAAACAAAGTTCACCTTGGGCTTGAAGAGGGGTGCTCATTGTTCTCTTCCTGGAGAGGTGATTTAGAATTCTTGTCCTCATTTTCTGCCTCCTCCTTCTTTTCAGATTCACCATTTACTGGAGTGGGATCTAATTTAAAAAGGGATATGTTGCATTGTATAGATTTTAATCATTTAAAAATCAACATGAACTAAATTACCATTGTTTTCTATGTCTTCATTATTTGCTGTGTCCTTGTCTTCAGTTTTTGGTTTAACTGGTACCTCACTTTTACCAACAAAGCGTAGTTTTAATTTGTTGTAAACCTCTGTAGCTTTTTCCATGACTGCAGTGCTGGCTTTATACCGTCGTATCTGGAATAGATCCAGTGTCAGCAAATCAAATACATAGTTTAAATGCTACAAATGCACATAAAGGCACCTTTTTCAAAGTAGCAATGACTTCAGCATTCTTATGAAGGATTTGGCTGGTGACTGGCACATTCTCAAGTTCCTGTAAGGCCTGTAGACACCTATCTATATCCTAAAATAACATAATTGTGTGAATAATACACAAAACTATACACATTTGTTTGGCTGGTCACTTACTGGGTTGTCCACTTTAAGTGCAAACTTAATGTCTGTGTGGAGTTTCTGCAGCTGTTCTTCTGGAGATGGTTCTGTAATAAAGATGTAAACAATTGTGAATAACCAAATAAAAAACAAAATACAAAAATACTGCATCAAATAACAAAATTCTGGTTAATTCTGACCCTTTTTCTTTTCAACTTTCTTCTCTGGTCTCTCTGGCTTGCGTTTTGGTTTTTCAGGTTTCGACCTGAATGAGACAGAGAAGCAGTTGCATGCAAGAAGATGTGAATATCCTGAAGTGTCACTTATACATCCACAGTGGACTTACTTTGTTCTGGACTTTTCCTCCATCCGTCTGGCTTTTTTCTCTTTTAACTCTCTCTCCTTTCTTTCCTTTTTCTCCTTTTCACGTTTCAGTTTTTCTTTTTTCTGATTGTCTGTCTTTTTGGGGGGCTTCTTTACCTACATAACCATTTAAAAAAAAAAAGTTATTACCAAACATCATCAACAAACAAGCACATCAATTACCTCGGGTGGAGAATCTGAGTCTGAGGGAGCAGGAATGGGCGGCGGTGGAGGTTTCTTGGATTTCTTCAAAGGATGGTCATCCACTCCTTCATCTGAGCTACTGCTGCTGTCACTCTCACTCCCTTTTTTACCCTTGTCCTTGTCTTTTTTCCTCTTCTCCTCCTCCTCCTTCTCTCTTTCACGCAGTCGACGAAGCTCCTCTGCCTCCTCCTTTTTTCTACGCTCTTCCAACTCTCGCCGGCGTTCCTCATCTTTCTTTTTCCATTCACTGATGCGGTCTGGTTCACTGTCACTTAACACAAAGACCGAAATTAGTATCTTAAAGGCTTAGATAATTTAAGAAACAAGTTATTGAAAAATGTGATTACCTGTCACTGTCAGATGATGATGAAGGGGCTCGCTTTGCTGGAGCAGACTTAGGTTTCCGTGCACGAGGCTTTGGAGGTGGTTTGTCTAAAAAATATATTTTATTAATCATCAGATTCAATATTTGTAACGTAGAGAGGTTTTTGGAGATAAGCAGACCTGCAGCCTTCTTGCGTGCTGGTGGACCTTTCTTTGCAGGTTGATCAGAGTCAGATTCAGATTTGGATCCAGACTGTGATTCTGACCCGGAGAGTGCTGGGCGGGGTTTGTCGTCATCCGAGTCACTGTCTGCTGGTTTCTTCTCTGACGCTGATCCTGAGTCAGAATCTGATCCAGATGATGCCTATTGAAACAAAAGTTTGGACATGATGCTTCACAAGCATCACATGTAGTTTGTCAGAGGTCTCAGTATATTTACTTACCTTTTTCTTTCTTCTTGCTCCGGCCTTCTTTCCACCTCGTCCACCTTTCTTCTCTGGAGTAAAATCCTGTTTTAAGATAAAAACAAAAAATATTAAAACAAAATTTCCTCAATACTAAAAATAAATTAAATTTGACTCACCTGGTCACTGTTTTTAGCAGATTCTGACTCAGATGGGGTGGGCTCTGATTCAGAAGGAGAGCCACTGTCTCGATCACTAGATGAACCTCGAGCCTTTTTTTTAGGAGGTGGCCTCTAAATGATTTAAATGATTTACAGTATTAAAATAAAAAAATGCTGTAATTCAGAAACTACAGATTGTTATAAAGTGCTTTGAACTGCTTTGTCAATTAAATTGTGAAACCAGTTACCTTTGCAGCTGGTGGCTTGCGCTTCATTCCTCCACCCCGTCCCCTGTCTTCACTGCCTGAATCGGAGTCCACTTCACTTCCTGAATCTGCTCGCTGAGGCACAGGAGCTTCTTCATCATCGTCCTCTTCTTCCTCATCACTTCTTCCACCAGCATTGTTACCTTCGCTGTCAGAAGAGCTGGCTGGCTAAAAAATAAAATGTAAAAACATATATTTATTGCACAGTATGAATGATTCTTCTATTAACTTTTTGGCAAAGTTTGACAATTGTCAAAATTTTTTATTTTTTTTAAACTATAATTCTATCTGACAATTATCTATCTCCTTACCACAGGAGGTGCACTATAGGAAGCATGTGGATTGTTTTGGATCTCCCATAAACCTTCATTGAATCCCTTTCTTTTATTAGGCTTCCCATAACGCTCTCTGTATTTTTCGAAAGGAAAAAGGTCCTTTGCAGCAAGGAATGCTCTGTAAACAAACACAATAATAAACACATAAAGGTAATTTTATCAAAGTAACAAATATACATACATGGACATAATTAATCTAAAATTAGTTAATGTTGTAAATATTCAAAGAAACACCAGAAGTAATGCATGTACACTTACGTTTCGTGAGTACCAAAAAAGAAAATGGGTATTTTGTTGGGAGGGGGTTTCACTGCCCCGTCAGCCACGTCTTCAATCTTAAACAGACATTTAAAAGCAATGAATGCATGTTGCAGAATATACAAATTTTTGCATTTTAATGACAGAAGCATGAAGATACTCTGCTGAGTTACAGATTTTGGTCGTACATTCAATAATAATTAGCGTAATGTGCCATCGCAATAAAATGCTATTTTCTCAAAAAATGTTCTTGACGAATCGAGAATAAACAAGCAATCTTCAGCATCGCAGATCAGTCTCCTCCGCCCCTCTCTCTGGCTGCTGCTAGCGCTGCTTACCCGAGCTGGCCAATGGGGGTATCCTTTCATTTTAGCGAAGACCAGGTCTCCGGGCTGGAAGTTGTGTGGCATCCTCCTGTTTGTCTTGCAGCTCTGTGTATGATTTAACTGCACAGACCGTTGTGTTTCTTTTGATTTGCAGTTTTCAGGTCGACATGAAACCTGTATACGATGAGATTAGCAACAAGCTAACAGTGCACTACCAATACTGACGTTACCGCGAGAACTGACAACGACACCAAAGTAGCGCCAATCCACACACATTTCCGGTAAGGTTTTCAGAATAATCCAAATTTTTTTTAAATTAATGAATATGTTTACTGAAGTATTGTTGATTTAATGGTCTAAAGTACACCTGTGGAAGAGGAAAATATTAAATGTTTATTTTAAAATGCTCTGTAAGTCTTACCCAGTATTTTACTCGTAGGCAAAGGCATAACTTTATTTTTTATCTTCATTGTCATAAAATATAAAAATAAAGTAGTAAAGGCAATGCAAATAGGATGCGTCACCACTTTGTAGTCCGTATGTATTAATTGCATGGCACTTTTGTTTTGTGAAAGAACAGTGCGTTCATTGTACCGGAAACCTAATACTGTTATATTTGGAGTAACTTGATTGATCCACACGCGTCAGTTTTTACAGGCCCATAACAGCGGAAATCCCACCAGTTCCTCTCCACGATTGGCTACTTTGCTGTCAGTTATCCCGGCTGCCAATGACAGGGTACAATGTGCATAACTACATTGACCTCCCCCTGATTCACCTCTAATGTGCAGCCATGTTTCGGTCTCTTCGCAGCCTACAGCAGTTTAACTGCTTCCTCCTGACTTCCCAGCGGCACAACGTGAGTAAAAAGCTGCTCTTTTCCACGTCCACAATGGCCAGCTCCGAGTTCAGGATCGAGCGAGACACTTTTGGGGAGCTCAAGGTCCCCGCTGACAAGTACTACGGTGCACAGACTGTCCGATCTACCATGAACTTCAAGATTGGGGGACCAACAGAGAGAATGCCGATCCAAGTCATCAAGGCGTTTGGGATACTGAAGAAGGCAGCAGCAGAAGTGAACAAAGACTATGGCCTCAACCCAAAGATAGCAGATGCAATCGTTCAAGCTGCAGAGGAGGTTTCAGCAGGTAAACTGGACGAGCATTTCCCTCTGGTGGTGTGGCAGACAGGCTCAGGAACCCAGACCAACATGAACGTCAATGAGGTGATCAGCAACAGAGCTATTGAAATCCTGGGAGGCAAACTGGGCTCCAAAGATCCAGTCCACCCCAATGACCATGTTAACAAGAGCCAGAGCTCCAATGACACTTTCCCCACTGCCATGCACATTGCAGCTGCCACTGAAATACACCATGTCCTGCTGCCTGGCCTTCAGACACTGCATGACGCTCTGGCTGCTAAAGCTGAAGAGTTCAAAGACATCATCAAAATTGGACGCACACACACCCAAGATGCTGTCCCTCTGTCACTGGGTCAGGAGTTTGGGGGCTATGTACAGCAGGTGAAATACAGCATAGAGAGAGTCAAAGCTGCTATGCCCAGGGTCTATGAGCTGGCTGCAGGAGGAACCGCTGTAGGAACTGGGCTGAACACCCGCATTGGTTTTGCTGAGAAAGTAGCCTCCACTGTGGCCTCACTCACTAGCCTGCCATTTGTAACAGCCCCTAACAAGTTTGAAGCACTAGCAGCCCACGACGCTCTTGTAGAGTTAAGTGGAGCTTTGAACACGGTGGCTGTCAGTATGATGAAGATTGCCAATGACATCCGTTTCCTAGGTTCGGGTCCAAGATCTGGTCTGGGTGAGCTCATTTTACCAGAGAATGAACCAGGCAGCAGCATCATGCCTGGGAAAGTTAACCCAACTCAGTGCGAAGCAATGACAATGGTGGCAGCTCAAGTTATGGGGAATCATGTGGCAGTAACTGTAGGTGGCAGCAATGGACATTTTGAACTCAATGTCTTCAAACCTATGATCATCAAGAACGTCCTGAACTCTGCAAGGCTACTGGGCGACGCGTCGGTCTCCTTCACCAACAACTGTGTGATGGGCATCCAAGCTAACACGGAAAGAATCAACAAGCTCATGAATGAGTCTCTAATGTTGGTTACAGCTCTAAACCCTCACATTGGCTATGATAAAGCAGCCACTATTGCCAAGACCGCACACAAGAAAGGGTCCACGCTGAAGGCTGTCGCTGTTGAGCTGGGGTACCTGACCGAAGAGCAGTTTGACCAGTGGGTCGTTCCAAGTGACATGCTGGGGCCAAAATGAACTCATAACAAACCCAACATCAAATAATTACATCAATTTGTAATGTTAAAAAGGACATTGTTTCACTGTACAGATTCTGAATATGTTCAGGCCAAAACTGACAACACCTCCGTTAAAAAAGGCTAAATTTAAGACAGTGACCAAGAGGTATATAAAGTTACACATTAAGTTTTTGAGATATGCAGTTCTTCTCAGAGTCTTGGATGTAACTGTTTTGAGTTCAAAGGATCCATCAAAAGTTTAGTCCAGGCCATACTGTGGTCTGTTCTGTATGAGTTAAATGCAGTTTCTCACTTTAATAAAACATGAATTTAAAGTCTGTCATGGTTTCTTTATTGTGCAACATCAACAAATAATTATGAAGATTGGCCAAAGATAAAAACAATAGTTCAAAACACAAAAAAATGCAACAGTAAAAATATGATGAATATTGTCGTAGGTTTGTTTCCTCTTCCACCATTTTCCATTATTTCGTCCAGCTGACTTTGGGGATGTCATAATGTTCAGTAAGTGTGTCCAGGTGTCGATTGAAATCCTAAAATCAAAAAGACAATGTTAATTAAATACTATATATTCATTTTTTTATGATTAAAAAAGGTGATGACTTGCCTCAACTCTGTGTTTGTGTGTTTTTGATGCTTTGTTCAGAATCCTCTCCATTTGCTATAAAAATATAAGTACATGTTAAAATGAGAGCTAAAAGCAAGTCACACTCAGCATACATAACATGATCACCTTTCATCTTTGTACTCTGAACTAACAATCTGTGGTCTCATAAAAAATTGACAGACTGCTATTACAGTTAAAAAACAAAACTTCAAAAGAACAACTGTAACTAACCAATCACATTTCAAGTACAATTCTACTTTTTTCCACAGCCTAATGATTGATCTTGACAAGTTGAGACATGCTTCAGTGTATATTCTTAAAAGAAACATCCAGAAAATGTTTCATGTGAAGAGTACAAGCACAGTTCAACCTCCAAGACTCTCCAGTTTTCTCTGTAATAACATTGCGACTAAATTACATGCGCAAAATAACATCCTAAAAACCTTGCTGGTACCACATGGGGATGGTCGAGAGAGGTGCACCTCATAACCTACCAAGCCATTGGTAGGCCAGTGCTTAATAATGCAGCACCGGGTTAGACTCCAAACCTGACCCACACTAACTGGAAGTGCCTCCAAATCAAACAAAATGCTGTCAATAACTGCCTGTCTACGCATGACTCTGATTGACCATCTCCACCACGAAACAGATGTGAAGACAGAAAAAGACTACAGCATAATGCTTAGCATGCAGTTCCTCCTGAGCGCCCTGAGTGGAGAGCAGGTCAAAGAGATCACAGTCCTTTACAACACTCACATCAGTGAGGACAGTTACAGGATTGGGGTTGGACTTGTACAACAAAACACAGCGGCACAAGCAGCCTCAGCCTATACTTCTTCCACGGTTCCCACTCTTTTTCACTGACAAAATTTCCAAACTTTTCCATGATTTTTTCATGACCTAAAGTGAATTTTCCATGACTTTACGGCACCTACATATGTAGAATTTAGTATACTTTTAGGGCTAAATATGACATTTTAACCCTTTCCACTCACTTTATGTTATGGTATTATAGTTTTTTTTAACATTCAAAATACTGTGTCAATGCATTTAGTGTAGTCTCTTTTAAACAAAAGGTGCATATGTTTGGAAATAATGGTAATAGCCTAATGACAACTTAACAGAACACTGTAGCTGCCTGAAAGAGATACTAAAATTCCATGACTTTTCCAGGATTTCCATAACAATGGGAACCCTGTTCTTATCAACACTCATCCTGTCCTGATCCTGTCCCAAAGGGGAGCACTGAGGAACTGCAGCTACCCAGAGAGACCAGGTGGCTCAGCTGTGGTCAGGATACTTTCACCTCTTAAACTCATACCTCAGTCGCATTGACACTAACATCACTGACACCTGTCCAGAGTGTGGCCAGACATCTCAAACAAAACAGCACCTCTTCACCTGCCCTGCAAAACCAGCACCACCAGGTCTCCATGTGAGATCTCTATGGACAGATCCCAAAGGAGCTGCAGAATTTCTGGAACTAACTTAGAAGAATGATGAAAGGCAGCTTGAGTTACAACAACTCTCTCCAATTAACCTATGGTTGTGCCACATTTTTATTTATTTTTGCCATAGACTTACTCTCTTCTCTTGCATTTTGTCAAATGCAATTTGGGCTGGGGTCCTTTTGTCCATAAATGTTTTTTTAGCCTTCACATCCTCATCATTTTGACTGGTCAAGACCTGTTCCAGCCGCTGCTTGCTTTCTTTGTCCTTCTTCTTCTTCCTGTAAATAAACATTGATGATTAGTATAAGAATGGTGTAACTAATTCCTGTGTTAGCATTTTAAGAGCCCATCACACCAATTCACAGTAGACGAATAACTTGTATTTATATAGCAGTAGTTCTAATAATGATTAACATATGAACCAAATAATAAACTAATTAACGTATTTTTACAGTTGTTTATTAACATCATGAACGACTCAATATGTTAACTACATAACATTAACGTACAGGCTGGAGCCGTTGTTTTTAGAGGCTATAAGTGTAGAAAGAACTCAACCTGAAACTTCGGAAACTTTTAATTATTAAACTATTAAACTGTCTCAACTACAATAGTTTAACACATTTTACTTAACACCAACTAACTTAGGTTTTTAAGTGGTTGCCTCCCTATGCTAAAAGCTAAGGTTCACACGAGCCTTACTCTCTTCTGGAAAGATCTGCTCCTATGAGATCTGCCAACGACGCTTTTTCGGAAACCCCGGTCTGTCTTGAAAAGAATAGTAGAATATCGTGTGTAATGTTGTACCTACTTTTTCCCAGATGAAACGGTGCCCACTCCTTTGAGTTTTAAAGCTCCTTTCTGGACCGTACCGTACTCAGACATTTTACCAGAAACACAAACGCGCTTCTTCTACTTTGTTTATGAATGGATCCGCGCAGTACACGCCGGTGCCCCCTGCTGGACAAAGAATGAGTGACAGGTTCTCCAGACCACAAGAGGGAGCTGTTTCAGTCTACAAAATCGAGTCGAACCAAAGCGGAAGTCAAACCATGAATGTCAAACTGGCGCATGCTGAACTGTTACATTAGTGAGAATAAAATGTCACAGTACGGATTATTTAGAACAATATTTCTTGCACATTGCTTGAGAAATGGGAGCTCAACAACGCTCTGTCAAACAAGCCTTTCAAATAGAGTACAAACATGCGGATATGCCAAGAAAGTTGGTGAGTAAAGACCAATCACAGACACATTATCGCTATTTATTTTTGTACCTAGTTGAGCATGATTGTCATTAAAATAGATTATCTTAATCTACTTGTCCCTCGTAAAAATGTACAAATCTAGAAGACTAATAAATGCAGACTTAACACTTAACGATAGATAGACTGATGGATGTATGAATACTTTATTGAACCCGAGGCAAATTCAAGTTTAGATGCAACAACGTACTGCGCTTTTTAGATCGCTTCTGTGTCAATGGACTCAATACAGTTTAACAGGAGGAGTGGTCAACAGATCATGAGCTGCTCAAGTGTTTTTTTTTGTTTTGTTTTGCTTCTCAGCTGTGGCCAAATGAAGGGTGAAGTGTAAAGTAAAGACCCTGTCCGGCTCACTACTTATGCAGTTGGAGCTAATATTTTCAAGCAAGGAGAAGACCCCAAATTAAAGGAACCTGAGGAATATCCTGAATGGTCAGTAAAGTAATAAATCTTAAGTTCCTGAGCTATAGTTTGTGTGTGTGTGTCATTACTCTTTAAATAAATATGGGGTTTGTTGATGGTTCTCTTCAGAATGCAACAACTAACTTTCAAAATCTAAATGTTGTATTTTATTGATGATTTAATTTATGCCAAAGAAAATGTTATGCAAGAAGAATTAATAGGAAAGAAGAGTAAGTATACAGAGGTGGCAAGAACTCTCATCTCACAGCAAAAAAGTTGTGGCTTCAGCTCCCAATTGAGTCCAGTTTTTTTGTGTAGAGTCGGGGTGGGTTTCCTCCGAGATCTTGTTTTGTTCCCATCAACACAAATCAGGCAGCTAAGGTGGTCTTTGTCAAGCCAAAATCAACATTTGGAGATTGGTCCCCTGCAGAATCCACTGCTTCTGTTCTGACCCAAGATGAGTCTGCACCTTAACCCTTAACCTTAACAGTACACTACCAGTCTGCCCCCAAATCAAATAAGATGTTTCTGAATCACCACATTTTGACAGACACAAAGCAGATTTAACTGGTCAAGTAAAGTTATATATTTTTATATTTTTCCAGGTTATTTCAGCTGAACCTGGGGATGCCCAAAAAACTGAACGAGCTGGAGGCTGACACCTGGGAATACTGGAAACGCCTGAGGAAGGAAAATATTTGGCGCCATAACAAACTGCACAAAGGGAAGAAGTTTTAGTTCCTGGACGTGCAGGACTCTTTTTCAACAGTGGCTTCCCACAGACTTTGTCAATAGATCATTACTTTATTGTGTATGTCCAGCTCTTCTTTTCTAATAATATCTTATACATACTGCATAATCAGATTGAAGACCCGGAGATGGCTGTGTTAATGATTGGCTTTGGATCAATAAAAAAACGTTTTTGACCCATTCACTTGACATGCTGTAGGAAACTGGAAATAATATTTTCTTCACTCTAGTCCAAGCAACTCTTCCTTCTACTCTTTTCTTTAAAATGGTTTCAATTACAGATACATATGTGTTTTTATGGATATAAACAAATAAAAATATGTACACATTATTTAACAAACGTTTGATTTTAGAAAGCAGACCTGTATCATTAATGAGCCACTCATGTTCTGTTTTAAAAAGAGGAACAGAAAAAACGACCATTATACAGCGGAAACTGCATGGAGTAACACTAGAAACGATTTTATAGTTTGTTTTTAACAGAGGACCCCGGTGTCACTTTTGAAGCTTTTGTGAATTTAAAACTCTACTTTCTGATTCATCGGTAAGTTTTATTGAAGATCGCAATATAGCCATAATGGACAGTAATTTTATTATCCCTTGATGAAGGGATGTTGTTGCGTGGCATCTGAAGAGGGATTTTCTACCGCATTAAACTTTGTATAAAACCGGAAAGTCCCGCCGTGTGACTTTTGTTGCGCAGGTGAATAAAACCCATCCTCTCTTTCATGCGCAGCCACAGTTTCACTCCAGAAGGTCTCAACAAAAGATTATTTTCCATGTTAAGTTCAACTCCTTATCCTATCCGGCTATTCTATATTTTACCCAGTCTTCTTAAGATTCCGTGAATATATCCCGGATTACTACGCTATGGATCAGTGGAAAGCGCCTATTGGTACGTTACGCGAGGATGTCTTGAAGAGGCTCTCAAAGATGTTGGACAACTCCACCTGCGGATGGAGACAGTTAGCCCACGTGATGTCAGAAGACCCCAAATTCCGCAGCAGGTAAACCACAAATTTACAACAAGAGACTTTCATTGTAGTTTAACATAAAGATTAACTTTTTTTTTTTTTTCCAGTGAGAGCGAGATGACCAGCTATTCACTCCAGGTGCTGAGTAACACTGGAAGCCCAAGTCGGACCCTTCTTGCTCGGCTTGCTGACCAGTCCTGCACCTTGAATTTCCTGCTTTGGGGACTGAAGAAAATTAACCATCAAGATGCTGTACACTATCTCACACACATAGGTTAGATTGGCGAAAAGAATATCGTAATACAGTTTTTATTATAAATCTTTTCATATAACATAAGTTGTTTTTGTTTATTTCATATTTTGATCAGTGTCTGGGCGGATTGAAATAATAGTGCAGCCACAGTCACATCAGGTTCAAGTAGGAAGCAAGGTGATATTGTCCTGCAAAGCATCTGGTTCCCCTGGTCTCTGTTACCAGTGGTTCAAAGGCAAAGAAGAGGTTGGCTCTTTGTAATAATTTATACATAATGCATGATCTGACTTGCCTTCATCACTATGATAATTGCTGTTATAGATTTTGGATGGTACTTCTCCAGTGCTGGTTCTTAGCCCATTCAGTTCAACCAACCAAGGACACTATATCTGTAGGGTGAGCCTTGGAGATAGCTGCGTTTTCTCACAATGGGCTCATGTTTGCTTGGCAGACTCCAGTTCAGGTATCTGACAAACTTTGATTATTTCTTTAAAACAAATGTATTTCTGAAATGATATAGCCTAATGCACTATATATTCATGGATTTATTTTTGAGGACTTTTTCCCATTCAAAAGAAATTATATTTTATTTTAAGTTGTTAATCACTATGGCAGTGATTCTAATGGGTCATAATTCTGAAACCCATGGACAGGCAAAAATGAGAACCATTGACATACTGACTCAGGTTACCTTTTCTGTTGTGAGTTGTTCTACATGTGTGTGGAGTGTGGTGCAGATTTAGTCTAGTATTAACAGTCTGTATCACTTTAGGGTGCCACAGTAGCATATTTCAAGGCTCAGTAAGTGGGTTGAGGATCATCAGACAGCCTCAGTCCCAAGCTTTGACAGAGGGTGATGCTTTGCATCTTGAATGCCAGGCCGTGGCCAACCCTCCTGCCCAGTACGAGTGGTACCATAACTCTGAGCCAATGCAACAGCATCAGACACAATCACTCAAGGTCAGCTTTTTGACATTTCTTTGACAGGAATGCTTTTACTAAATCAATACCTATTTTATCAATTTCCAGATTCCACATGTGACCACAGCTCACAGAGGACAGTATAAATGCAAGACATATAACTTGTACCATGAAGTTTGGAGTGAGGCTGCCGTAGTGACCATTGGTGAGCACCTAAATTAAAACAGTCAGACAGTCATAAGAATTTATTGTTTTTAATATATTGTTTTTGTTGTATCTCTTTGAAGGTCCCATTTCTGTCATTGATGCATCTTGGGTAGAAGTTGACACACGAAGCCCTGGAGTTATTGAAACAGAGGAACCTGGTAATCTTAGTTCCCCTGTCCACTCCCTACTCTGGATTGTGCCTATTTTATTATGTGGATGTGTAGAGAAGAGAAACAAGTATTGCAACCAAACAAAATCCACTATAATAGTTTTTGCTTGTAGATATCAGATCCAAAGAGATGGAAAGGTTTCCAGCTCAACAAATGGCCAGTCCATACCCACCTGTTAAACAATTCTATGGTATGAGTTTTGATATTTGTTAATGTTACAACACTCTGCTTATATAATTTAAAAATACATATTTACATCAAAAGCCACAGATAAAGTTGCCCTGTTGATTGGGAACATGAACTACATGTACCACACCCAGCTTAGTGCTCCTATTGCCGATGTCCACGAGCTGACCAACCTCCTTCGTCAAATGGATTTCAAGGTGGTCTCACTGCTGGACCTCAACTGGCAGGAAATGCACAGTGCGGTCACTGAGTTCCTCTTGTTGCTTGATAAAGGAGTCTATGGTCAGTCTCCTCAAAATAAGTAAAGCAAAAACTCTTGTGCATCTAAATCTGAAACATTTTTATACTTCTATCATTGGTTATAGGTCTGCTGTACTTTGCTGGTCATGGATACGAAAACTATGGGAACAGTTTCATGGTTCCCATTGATGCCCCAGCCTCATACACATCAGATCACTGTTTGTGTGTTCAGAAAATCCTCACCAGGATGCAGGAGCGAGAGACAGGACTTAATGTATTTCTGTTGGATATGTGCCGTAAAAGGTATGCATTATTTTCAAACATTAAAATATATCTTTTATATTTATTTATCTTTAACTAATTTATCTTTAACTTTTATACAGAAATCCACATGATGATGTCTTGGTACAAACTGGCTTACTCAAAGTGACAGCAAATATAGTGTTTGGATATGCAACGTAAGTTTGTGGCGGATTTGTGAATACAGTTGAATAGTGTTAAAAAGCCCACGTTCTTTCTTATTGTTTGTGAAGATGTGCAGACGCTGAAGCATATGAAGTGAAAAAGGAAGATGTTTCTAATGGTATATTCATTAACTTCCTCAAACGAAGAGTGTGTGAAGATGAGAAGGTGACGGTCATGCTGGACAGAGTAGCTGAAGGTATGTCACACTAGAACATATAAAGAGCCCATTCTGATCTATATTATACTGTTATTTACAAACATACTCAGAGTTTGTTCATTCACGCACACATGTTTAACACACTAACCCTGCATATTTAGGCTGAGTTATTCCCTAAAATAGAACACTTTGTTCCACCCTATGATGTCATGTGATAATACAGAAAGTGTTTTTAAACTCCACACACCTTCATTAGAATCATTTTTCATGATTTCAGCCCTGGAATTCCCAGTCTTTACTAAACAATAGGTAAAAGGTAGCTGTTAACTTGAAAACTACTGTTTCAAATCACAATCACATCATGTGATGTGATTGTGATTTGAGCTCTGTTTGAGTAACTAGGATAACCAGGGTTACTCAAACATGCACAAATCCAGGTATGTTTTTAAGGAAGTAACAACTTTTTAATATGGCTTGAATATGGCTATTGCCATCAGAATTATGTTTACAAACACCATACAAACTTTCATACAAAATATATTTCTGTAGACATGGGCAGGTGCAGAATCACTCACGGGAGACAAGCTCTGGAGCTCCGGAGTAATCTGTCTGAACGTCGCTGCCTCACAGACCACATACAGACAGCGGAGTGTTCTGCCTCCTATTCGGCCCGCAACTTGCAATGGACTGTTGCTCATGGTTGTATTTGATTTTATTTGGTCAGCTACAAACAGTATTTGCAAATGCAGTAATGAATGACTCCTTTATTTATTTTTTTCTCGCTCTCATAACATTCCTCATAGTTCTGCCTCCAAGCCAAACTCTGCAGTTTGACTGTGGAGTCATAGTTCAACTTGGGTTTGCCGCAGAGTTCTCCAATGTCATGGTCATCTACACTCGAATCCTTGAAAAACCCGAAAATATTGTGTTCTGCTCTGCTCAGCTTACTGATTTCCCTGTGGTGAGCTCTTTGCAAACATTCACATTCACATTCTTCACAAAGACAAAGTGTAATGCTGTTTCCTTTTCTTTATATGTTTATGTTATAGGATGTGGAGATTGATTTGAAGAAGAGCAACCAGGAGACACTACTTGAGGCTGGTAGTTTGTTGCTGATCAACGAAACTCTTCCTGCAGAGGCCCAAAGTCGCTACACGCGCGTCTATGGGCTGCAGAGACTCAAGGTTGGCACACTGGTTGGTTGTTGTTTGAAAATGTTTTTTTTTTTGTATAATACTGCCTCATAAATTATACATTGTTCTCTTGTTTTTGTCCTCACAGAAGGAGCTTATTTTCACAGTGTGTCTTCATTACACCTATTCCAAACTTGATGACGAAATTCAGGAAAAGCAGTCTGTAACAGCAGGCAAACCTCTTGTCTCCAAGCTCAACCTCTATGAACGAAGACATTCTCAGAACTCTAAAAATTTATATTCTTGCCATGACCATGACTCTTTTAAGATCCCAGTGGGCTCTCTGTATGCTTCTGAAGGCCTAAGTTTAGATGCCATTGCCTCATCCTCTCATCTACAAAGAGGACAGGCAGCTTCTGGTGCTAATATACCACAGGAGACTGACTATGATGAGCAGTTTGATGCCCCCCAACCTCTAATTACAGAGTAGACTTTGAGCACTAAACAAATGTTCTGATGTTCTGACGCACGCACGCACGCACGCACGCACGCGCACACACACACACACACACACACACACAACCCCAAAATGTAACAAATGTTTCAAATAATTCAGTTTTGCTATATAAGCTGTATAAGCTACTTTACAACATCTATTGTGACATCTTGTGCTGCAATTGGTTAAATAGATAAACTTTAAAAGTACAAAGTCTGCTGTGAACACGTTGGCCTCTTTATTTTGTGGACGCTTTCCTCGCGCCAGGACAATGCGCATGCGCGTCTTGTCTTGCAGCTGCAGCGTCCATTTTGCTGAAAATACAGACTGCTAGCGACGCTCCCCTTAGTGGAAGACAATTACTGAATGCTACTTTTTACAACAGGATCATAGCATACTGTACAGGCAACAGCTATGGCAGATTTATCTGCAGACGTTGACGTTCCCGTCAGTGTGGAGATAAAGAAATTATCGGAGTTGAAAGTCATTGACCTCAAGGCCGAGCTAAAGAAACGAAACCTAGACACGACCGGGGTGAAAAGCGTACTGTCTGAGCGTCTGAAAAAGGTAAGCAAGCGACCATAGGACTATAGGCTCCTCGTGTGTCAACAGCCTAGCACATAATCAAGACATATGGAAACATATTTGCGATATAAGTGGGGCAGAATAAGTAAACATAAACTACCTTCGTAGAGTTTAGCGCTAACAAGTTAGCTTCGAGGCTAGCTCTGTTCGTTGTCTGCTTTAAACTTAATTTTATGTTCACAGTTTCTTTATCTGGCTATAACTCTGTGCAATGCTTTGGTAGGCAATAGAAGAAGAGGGCGGTAATCCAGATGAAATAGTCATCTCGATGGAAGCAAACCCGAAGAAGGCGCCTCCTAAAAGGGCTGCTAAAGGTAACGCTCATCTCCCCTCTGGTAACGCAGAGGCCTCTGACGCCTCTAAACTGATACGGCATTTTTCCTACAGCATCAAATACTTCTTCGAAACTGAGTTCCCTGATTTGTTTTGCAGATTCAAAGCAAGAAAGTGAACCTGGGGATGGCAATGTCGACGAGGATTTCCAAGATAATTCGGTGGGTGCCTTTCATCCATCCTCAGATGTTAAATAATTAATGTTGATTTCTGCGTTATAAAGGCGTTTGTTTGTCACTCTTCAGAATGAAAACATGCAGGAGATGGACATCCTGGACATGAACGTGTTGGATGAGACAGAAGACTATACCAGGGATGGAGTTGAGTTGGACACTATGGATGACGACATTTTGAATTCAGATCACGGAGAGGGCGATGGACAGGTAGGTTGAAATAATTTGTGCAAAACAGAGACTGTGTTTTTCACTTGCACTTTTAAAATGTTTGTGTGTTTTCAGGATGAGCCAGAGGCTGATAAAGACAACGATCCTGCTTTGTCATCATTCCACACGGTAAGTTTGACACAGACAGTGTGGTCAGAAATATAAAAATCAAAAACCTTGCCTTGTACTGTAATTTAACAATTTCCATATTTATTTTAGGCTGATGATCCAGATGATAATGATGTAAACAGCGGTACAGGTAATGTAAACTGTTGTTAGAAATGGCAGGTGTTATCAAATATAGTTGAGGGAATAAATTTTGCTTAGTTTATACATATGAGAGACTGGAAACCTCAGATAATTGTTGTCTATGTGCACAATTTTGTTCTCCTTGTTTTTGAAATAATTTTTAATCTTAATAGCAACCCAGGATAAAAAAAAAAGGATGCAGTTAAGGTGTAGAACTAATTGATGCACATTGTCAGCAATTGTATGGGGCAGATGGGAAAGTTGCAGTGTTATAGGTCCTCATGGAGAGAAAGAAGATTTGAAGACTTGTCGTCTGTAACAGCTGTTTAAAGACACGGACTGAAAGCTGCACAAAAGTTGGACTCAAGCCTAAATATGGACATTGATACGGACACTGAAAACATGGCTGAAGATTAATAAGAAGTTCCCCATTTCTTCTGGCTTTCATCAAAGCTGAACTCTTTGCCTGGTTTGATGCGAGTCCATGTTGTAGCCTTCTGCTTGGACAATGCGCTACTATTGTGTGATGACCAGTAGTTGAGTACCTCCAGAGTACTTTCCAGTCTCTCATTAGGGGTTTCTGTGTGATTATAGTTAGCACTAAGACCATAGGCTAGTGGTCATGAGGCTCCTAATCCAGGCCTTGCCAGTTCCTCGTTAAACATTGCTGTGTTTCAGAAGTGATTAAACTCTGTGCCATTCTGTTCCTGTTAACTCCGTAGAAATTGACAAAGTAGCCGGGTCTTGTTTATCTGAGCCGATAAAAGAAGATGACCAGCCGAGCCAAGAGATGAGTCCTGAAGAAGACCAAGCTGCCATCGCCAGCGGAGAGGAAGGCGTTTCCCAACCTGGTTCCAAAGGTGCAACTGCTGCCCTTGAAAATGTGGAAGGCGACAAGGAGGTCGTGGAGCAGGACACCAAAGAAACTGGGGACAATGTCAATGTATCTGAAGAAACTGTAGAATCTGAGGACAAAGTCTTAAAGGATGTTAGCTTAAATGAGCAGGGGGGTGAGGGAGAAACTGTTGATTTAGAAAGTGGGGCTAAGAAGGGTGATGAGGATGAGAAGACGGAGGACAAAACCGCTGCGGATTCTGCCTCGACATCCAAAGGGTCCACTGTAGAGGGTGAACAGACTAAAAGGTTTGTCGCTTTCTGTCTACTTGAAACCAAAAATGGTTATCTCTGTTGCATTGGCCCCTTTGTCATATAAAAATAGGATGCTCTTTTCGAGGTAAAACTCTTTGCATTTGTCTTGTCTTGTTGTCCCTTACTTCTGCATACTCTACTTAAGAGTAGCACATTGGCATTCACTCAAAAATAAATTGTGCCTACTGATATGTTACTGTTGGGCTTGTGTATGTACAGCACAGCAAATGTTTGTAGACTTCTACTACACCTCATTCTTGTGATTGAGACCTTTTTTTGTTTTTGCTTCCTTTAGTTCTGATGAAAAAGATGCAAATACAACATCTAAAGATGACAAGGGTAAGTTATTAAGGGCAGCTGTAAATTATTAGCTTTTTGTGGGTCAAAGCCAAACTGGTTTTACTTTTGTAGATGGAAGTGGGGCTGCAGCCAGCAGTAGAAATCTGTGGGTTAGTGGTCTTGCCTCGAGTACCAGAGCGACTGATTTGAAAACGCTGTTTAGCAAATATGGAAAGGTAAGTTTAACGCTAACATACCCCAAACCCCAATGTGTTTTCCCAGTGTTTTTGAATCCTCCTTTTTTCTGTAGGTTGTTGGTGCAAAGGTAGTGACAAACGCTAAAAGCCCTGGGGCTCGTTGCTATGGTTTTGTCACCATGTCCACCACAGAGGAGGCCACCAAGTGCATCAGCCACCTCCATCGAACTGAACTTCACGGCCGCATGATCTCTGTTGAACGAGTGCGTATCAAGCCTCAACTTCTGTTATAAATATCATAAATGCATTAGATGAAAGTGAAAAATAAGCATAGTAATTTATATTTATGATATTCTCTAGGCTAAGAATGAACCTGCTGGCAAAAAGCCATCTGACAAGAGTGATGGAAAGACCAGAAGAAACTCTACTGATTCAAAGTAAGACTGTAAAATTGGTGTAAAGCAAGTAGAGGAACAACTATTTGAGCTGGTATAACAATAATGAGCTCCTTTTAAATAAAGTCAGCTTTAACAATTGAACAATTTTAACAAAAAAAAGGTGGCTGCCCATGATTAAAACAGGCCTTTTATGATTTACAGGAACACATTTTTAAAAGTAATTAACAAAATTTTACTTTTATTATAGGTCTGAGAAGGATGGAGAAGGAAAAGGTGAGAAATTATTACTCAGTTAGGGGTGATTAATGACTTCAAATCCTAATAACTATAAATGTTAATAGGGCCTAATGAAAGGACTGTAGTGATGGATTCATCGAAGGGAGAGCCTGTGATCAGTGTCAAAGCCAAAAGCAAAGACAGAGTGAGTGATGCATTTGTATATGTTACTTCTAAATATGCAAGTCTCTTCGATGGTTTCTTTTTTGCACATGTCTGATTATATGGCCTTTGACTTTGCTCAGAGCACAAAGAGCCGTGATCGCAGTACATCCAGCAAAGAAAAGAAAGACATTCTGTCGTTTGATCAAATAATGGAGCACAGAGAGCGGGAGAGGCAGCGTCAGCGAGAGAGGGAGGTCAGAGAAGTGGAGCGGCGGAGATACACGTGAGTCTGGATTTGTACTTTTAAAATGCCATCACAGCTGTCTCATTTAGCCATAATTTGAGATTGAGTTGTTTTTTAATTTAGTTTCAATGACCGAGAGCGGGACAGCAGGCCAGACCGAGAGCGAGACAGACTGCGCATGTTAAGGGAGCGTGATGAGAGGACCAGTCTGATGCGAAAGAGACATTGGCTGGAGGTTGGTACTATCAACTCCTGTGAAAAAAATATGTTTTGAGCTTTTCATCTTATAAATCAATTAGGGGTGTCACATTATCGCGTTAATTGCGATTAATTAATTACAGTCATATTTAGCGCGTTATGTTTTTTAATCGCGTTAATCTCATTTTTAATCTCTAACTTTACTGTTTCTGTATGCGAGTTGCTTTATTATAAAATCTGTTTTTATGTGTTGTTGGGACAACACACACACACACATTTATAATTTTTTTTATTTCGGTAATTCCACTCATTGCCGGAAACCCACACAAAACGCGCGCAGTAAGAGCGATGTGAACGTCATGTTAACGTTGACGGCATCAGTCACAATGGACGAGGTGGAAGAGCCAGTAGAACAGAGGCAGCAGTGCACAGGTAAAAACGCATTCGTGTCTTGGAAATTATTCTCCCGACGTGAAATATAAAAGAAAATAACAAATATAATATCGCCTACAACTTAAATGTCACTGGTGTAAACAACCTGCATAGGCTCATGATGTCTGCACTACTGTCATATAGTGACCTGCCACATGAGGGGACACGCACACAACACACACACAAACACACACACAACACACACACACACACACACACACAAATACACACAAACACACACAAATACACACACACACACAAACACACACCTTCATCATCGTCATTACCCTGAGAACGCGCGGACCACGTTTCCTTCCGTAGACGCTGCGCGGACACCGACGTGCTCCCGTGAGCCGCGTGTGGATCGTGTTTTCTCGCGTACGCTGCGTAAACCGCGCTTCCTCCTGTGCGCCTCTAAACCAGAACTAACACCAAGACTAAAACCAGGACTAAAACCAGGACTAAAACCAGGACTAAAACCAGGACTAAAACCAGGACTAAACCAGGTCTAAACCAGGTCTAAACCAGGTCTAAACCAGGTCTAAACCAGGACTAAACCAGGACTAAACCAGGACTAAACCAGGACTAAACCAGGACTAAACCAGGACTAAACCAGGACTAAACCAGGACTAAACCAGGACTAAAACAAGGACTAAAACCAGTGATCTCATATATATTTCTCTATCAATAATATTTTTAATATGGTTAAGGAAAGACTGGACTTTTTATTGTCTTTAAGTGGACAAAAGTTATTATGTTCAGATTTCTTAGTCTTTGCTACTTTACAGCAAACAGTTTCTTATTCATTAAGACTTGGGCTCAAAAGCCAATTTGGAGAGATTTGTTAAACAATAAATTACTTTATAAAGTCACTTTTTTAAATCTATATCAGTCTTTTGATCTGCCACAATAATGTAATAATGAATTTAAATGAAAATACCTCAAATTGAAGCTTTTCTCAGCAATTTTTAGGTGAGATTAAAATGAGATTAATTAGATTAATTAATTACAGATCATAATTAATTAATCTCTCAATTTTTTTAAACGCATGACAGCACTAAAATCAATAAAATATCTCCATTAGGTTGAGAAACAACGGCTTGATGCTGACCGCATGGAGGCTCAGCTTCTGGAGCGTGAAATGATGCGTATTGAATACGAGCGGCGCCGTGAACAGGAGAGGATCCTCAGAGAGCGTGAAGAGCTGCGGAGACAGCAAGAGTTGCTGCGCTTTGAGCAGGACCGCAGGCCTTTGAAGAGACCTTATGATATTGACCACAGGTAATGAATTAACACATCTTATTCCTGATAATCCATATGTCCGGTGTTTTCTGATTAAAATTTTGTTAACATTTTGCTCTTAGGAAAGATGACTGGGCGGATAAGCGCATGGCCTTAGACGACCGTTACAGCCGCTCAGACTTAAGTCGGCAGGATCGTTTCCATGACTTTGACCAAAGGGATCGGAGCCGATACCAGGATGACATTGTCGAAAGGAGAGACCACAGGGATAGAGATGGACCGGTGAATAAATGTTTGGATATTAATTTCTAAATTTTAGGCCCTGGTGGTAATTTTTTTTTTTTTTTGCAGCATTTCTCTGACAGACATGGAAGAGATGGTAGAGACTCTTGGAGTGGACGCATGAACTCAAGGTGAGATAACTGCTGAGATATCATTAACTAATAATTTAAATACAAATATTTAAATATGCTTATTTTTATTCTAGGGATGGTGGAAGGGACTGGGACTCTAGGAAAATGGATGGTGACCGATGGCAAGGTAAACTTTTTTACCACAGAGGTTAGATCAATGCACTGCAGAATATAATATTTGCGGTAACCTATTTTCAGGTAGAGACAGTGCAGTTCC